AAGGTTTTAAATTAAGGAAAATAATATGAATATTAATTAATTAACATAACCTAAGTTCTAAATTAATTTTAACTAAGATAATAATATGTTAATTTATCCTAAATCTAAAAATTAATTATTTAAGAAAAAGAAAATAAATTTATTTATTTTAAGAAAATGTTTTTTAGTCTTTTTATTTTATTGTGAAAACAAAATACATAAGTATAAATAATAAATAAAAATAAATTTGGTTCAAAGTTATGAAAAAACATGAAGTTTTAAACACTTAGAAAAATTTCTAAGTTAGGAAACTTTGACTTTTCAAAATGAAATCTTGACTTTTTGATTTCTTGATGAATAAGTTTCATATTTTGACATGTTGTGATGAATTGTGATCTTTGACATTGAATTTTGACCAAAAAGTCAAAGTTTGACTTTTCAGTGTACAATTGAGCAATGTTTTAGGTCATGCCATTATGTAAAAATGATGCAATTTAACTCTTGAAATCATGCTTCAAACCAATTGACCATTTGCTAGGTCAAAAATCAGAAATTACCCTTTCTTAGTCAAAACCCTAATTTTGACCATTTTGCCCTTTTGATGATTTAATCAAATTTCTTGAGGAATTGTGATCCAAACTTGATCAAATGATACATATGAGTTTATAATGTTGACGTGGATAAAAAATTATGAAGTTTGACTGTAAATTGGCCATAGTTGACTTTTTCTCCAATACAGCTGATTTTTAGGTAAACTGATCAATTGAATTAGCAAAAGTGTGATCCAAGGCTTGAAACTTGACATGAGTAATATTAGGGGTACATAATGATCCATGAAAGTAATATGAAGAATTGAAAGTTCAATCATCTTTGTGCAATCTCAAACCCTAGTTTTGGTCATCAGTACTTAAGGAGGTGTCTTGAGCTGATCAACCCTAGTGCAGTCTGGAACCAAGAGAGATCTTTGTGAGAAAATATTTGATAAATGAGAGGGAAAATTTTGGGGTACAACAGGGTCCGTTACAAATCTTACAACTAACAGTTTGAGCTTGTTGAACTTGAGCGACCTGTTGAGTTCCAAGGTTTAATGCTTTCAACTTCTTCTCCACCTCTGCAGTTATTGTATCTTCTATCCGGACTTTATTGGCTTCCAGTTTCAGATCAATAACTCCTCCTGGTGTAGTCACACTTCTATCATATAACTACAAATTTCCTTGGCAGCAATAGCTTCGATAATCTTCTTCACGCCAGTGGCTGTTGTAAAGTTAGATGAGCCAGTGACAGCAGTATCAATGAGTTGTTTAGTTTGCATCTTTAAGCCATTCACAAACATCTGCATTTTCTCAGTTTGATCCATGTTATGAGTTGGCATGCTACCAAACATCTTTTGAATCTCTTGTATAAATCACCTAGAGACTCTCCCTCTTTCTGCTTGAAGTTCACAATATCATATCACTTGCAGATATACACAGAAGCTAGGAAGTACTCGTCCAGAAAAGTCTTCTCCATTTGTTCCTAGGTGGTAATACTTCCAGCTGGTAATGAGTAAAACCATTCTTCGGCTTCTTTAGACAATGTGAAAGGGAAAATTCTTAATCTTTTGCTTCTTCAGAATGTCCCTCAATCTTCAGAGTGGTGCTGATGGTGATAAATCTCTGAAGATACTTATTTGCATCTTCGTTGATCTTTCCTGTGAACGGTCTATTTTCCAGTTGTCTGATTATTGAAGGGTGCAGCTAAAAATTTGCCACATTTACCGGTTGATTAACGATAGTCAATCGGCCAGCCATAACATTTACTCCTCCATAGTCCCCAAGCAATCTTTTCGGAGGTGGAATTTCACCCATGGTTGACTTGTCTGACTCTGACTCAGACTCTAATTCAGAGTGAATTGAAGGAACTTCTTCTTCTTGCGGTGTTGAACTTTCTCCTTTAATCTCCAGTCTTGCTAATGTAGCTTGTCTGAGTCTTTTATGCAAACTTATTTCTGATTCTGCGTCGAAAGGAAAATCAGCTAAGGCCTTACCTCGCATACACAGATTAGACAAGAATTAGCATAATTATAAAATTAACAAAAAAAAATTTAATTGCAGAGCAATAAAATTTCAAATGAACTATAATTAAAACTTTGTATTTCGGCACTCCCCGACAACGGCGCCAAAAACTTGATCGGGAAAATAGCAAGTGTACTATTTTAACCGATGTAGTAATAATGGGTTTACCCCAAAGATCGATCTCAAAAAGTGCGTAATAAATACTAAGTTTCCCAGTAGTTTAATTGAACAAAAATAATTGGTTGGTTTGTTTTGATGAATTCTTTGCAAAAAGTAATAAACCGAAAATAACTTGACTTTTCTTTAAAAGAGAAAAACATGCTAGGGGAAGTGGTTGACTTGGATTGAAAAGATATGAATTCTAATTCTCTCAAAGGTTAATCTTATGTTTTTCAATTACCAACCTCTAGATTGTTTTTCCATATGTCTATAGTGAAAAACACTTGAACATTCACCCTTAATCCCAATACCTATGAAGATAAAAAGTGAATTCAAGCAATTATAATAACAAGGTTGTCTGTGGTGATTATAGGGTATTCCTAGTCCTAGGTCGTATCTACTATAATCCAATTATGAAAAAACTCTAACAACTACAATCCTGCACTTGTTAGCCATAGATCATTCCCAATTTTACCGAAAGAGAAAGCATAAACACATTGCATAATCAAATTGAAAAACATGAATTCAAACTTTGATTAACTCATAAATTCATATCCATTGCATAAACCAATTTAGGACAACCCCCTATCACTGGGGGGTTTAGCCTCTCATAATATTCAAGATAGACATGATTAAGAAGTTAAACATTATAAGAATAAAGGTGGACTTTGATCTTCAATGGTGGAAGCCCTTGAATCCCTCCGTCTCCAATAACCTTGATGAAGCAATCTTCTCGCTTACGTGTTCTCTATTGTACGATGCCAAAAAGTATCGGATCTCACTAAAAAACTCAAGTAAATACCTAGGTACAAATCTCAGCAAGCTGGAATGTCTAAAGTGCCCTAATGGTCAAGATTTAATGAAAAAGGACCAAAATAAAATAGCTGACGTGCAGGCCAACACGGTCCATGTTGAGCCCACACGGGCCATGTTGCTTTTAAAAAAAGGCTTCTCTTTTCTCATACTTCAGGTCTACTGACACGGGCCATGCTAGGCAGCACGGGCACCCGTGTTGGCCCCCAGGTTCTTTGTATGGACTTGGCTTGCTCTGCTGACACAGGCCATGTCATGGGACACGAACCGTGTTGGTCTTTAGAATCTAACACTTTTCCTCTTTAGCCTTTGTACTCTTGCTCCATTCTTTTCACTCTTGCTTTAGACTAACCCACTGAACCTGAGACATGCATACTACCAACAAAAAGCAATAAAAGCATCAAAATAACTCAAAGAAAATAAAATGCACGAAAATCAGCTAGACATGAAATACTTAAGAAAATAATAAGACTTCACATAAAATGTTACTCAATTGACAGACTATAGACCGTATGCATGATGAAAATTAGATAGAAATGGTGACCAATCAGGTACACAAACCTAAATTGGATGTTATCAACTCTAAATCTAGATGGGACCCAAACAAAGAATGATTATGTATAATTTGTTTGTGTCTATGCATAGAAGGAGAGGTTGAAGATAAATAGAAATACTTTGTATGTTTATGGTTTCATCAAGTTTCAAATGATGCATGTATGAGGCGTATATATGTGTTTAAGTTAGAGGCAAAAGGAATGCAATACGTTTAGGAAAATAAATCATAAATTTCAAATTTTTTGAAGAATGTGTCGACTCATACAAGTCATGTGTCGACACCTTTGAAGCATGAGTTGACTTGTATATGTCAATATGTTGACACATTCATTATAGAGGGTACATGATTTAGAATTGATCTACATGTGTCGACTCATACGATGCATGTGTCGGCACATGCATTACAAAGCCTACATACTTTAAAATGAAAGTACATATGTCGACTCATAGGTCATATGTGTTGACTCATAGGCCTTATTATTACATGAAATTTGATTTTTAATGTATGAAACCTTTTCCAAGCATCTCCAAACCATTTCTAAAATGTTTTTATGCTTCCTAATGCTAAGATGCACATTCAGACTCAGAGAATACCGCCCAACATACATAAATGCTAAAATGTCCTAATTTTAACATTATACAAAACATATATAATAGGAAGGTGCACTCACATTCTCTCCCTTTTTATGATGGAAAAACTTTGCGACGACGCATTTGATGTCTTCATGAAGGCTCCCCCTGAATGTGTGCATTATTAACTCTGTCTTGCATAAGCTCCCTCCCCCATTTGACAACATGAAAAACAGATAAAGCAAGCCATGACAAAGTATCACATAGATCCAACAAAAACTCATATACCATATACCAAAATCACACATAGGTGTTTGATAAGAAAGAGTGTGCACTCACATACACTCACATATGTGAAATTACACAAATTGAAATACTTAAACATAAATAGACGGTAATTTAAACAATATTATATTATTGTTACTCCAAAAAGAAAATACAAATAACATAAACCATTGTTTCACTTCAAAGAAGTGATAAAATTTTAAATACATAAACATAAAGACAAAACAAAACAAAGAAAAATAAGATGCATGATGACACAAATCAAGAAATACATGAAATAATTTCTTCAAAAGGGGTTTGATCCAACATCATGAGAAATTTAACTTCAACGTCCTCCACGAACTCTAGGTATTGGTCTCACGCCACTATGGCAACCTTGTCCATCATTACCAAAGTGATTATCCAAGAAATCGCATATCTCCCGGCAGAATTGTGCATAGTGGTAATGATTCTCATCTTGAATGGAAATCATGTGATTTATCCTGGAGATTGTGGCAGCAATATTGGACGCCATCTCATTCTGGATAGAGAGAATTTATTCAATGACACAAGAAGCAAAAGTTTCAAAGTTGGTGTCTTATGGTGTCATGTGCTCTTGAAGAAGACAAAATCGTTCCTCTTGAGCTGCCTCAAAAGTGCAGATCGCCTATGATAATCCTCCTTGTATAGCTCATCTTGCTTAACCTGCATGTTTTGAAGCATAGTAATAATGGAAGACCGATTTCCATATTCAACACCAATCCCACTACCTTGATCATCCCCATGGCCAGTATCATGCATATCTGTATCAACTTGAGAAGCATCATGAGAAGCACTAATAGGTTGATCATCAACCATATGTAGTTCAGCAGTAGAATTAACAAACTCAACAGGGCCATTAAAGTTATACATTTTCTTACCATTCTTTTTAACACGGAAGTAATACACCTTGCAGCCTTTATCCCAAAAGTATCCCATGTTGGTTAAGGTGTGTTGAGAGAAATCTTAAGCCATACAAGGTGAGCTATACTAAAGATTTGGAATCTTGATGTTGAAGTGCTTGAGGATTCTAGAAATGATGGTAATGTAACAAAAGGAAGTTCCTTTGTTGCATTATTCGATGCCAAACATGCAGGAGTCAAAGTAATTAGCCCAATTGATCCGGATTTTAAGGAGGAAGATGTATACAAGGTGGTTTTCAGGTTGGTCAACCCTTGAATGACCACCATTCTTTGGTCGTAACACATGAGAGACAAGCCAATCAAAATACGAGGAACCTTTTTCAAATGACTGATTGTTATAGGTTCTGACCAACCCTCAGACCGGGGAGCCTTTAGCATTTCATTTGTCTGAATGAGCCACCGAAAATATATATGAATATTGGTATACGTCACCAATGGATCAATATCAACACTAACGATAATAATTCCAAGCAACGACTTCCTAAGAGTACACTACTGCAAAAAGGATATACAACACCACCCATGTTACCTTGGCCAAAGGATCCACCGTGATAGAATCTATTAAATTATGTGCTTTTATTTTTTATATTTGATTAAAAGACACACAACAACGATTGTTTAATATAATTGTTGTTGTATGTAGCACATGGTTATGAGTTTAAATCTTGTTATTGTTGTTGTTATTCTACTACTGTATTTTTTATATTTTATTTTAAGACATAAAAATGGTTGTTTAATACAACCATTTTTGTATGTAGCACATGGTCACAAGTTTGAATCTGGTTGTTATTGATCTACTGCTGCATTTCTTATATTTTATTAAAAGACATACAACAACAATGTTTTAATACAATAGTTGTTGTATGTAGCGTGCTATTGAGTTTATTGAGTTTCTTATAAGCGTGTTTATTGAGTTTCTTCACCATCCTTAAATAAAATTAGTTAAAGAACAAGAGGGTATACAATGTTTAATTAAGTGTGCATGATTATTGAGCTTATATTTAACATGGTTCTGACCTAGTTAAAGAGCTTGTAAAGAAGAAGCAAGTGAAACTAGATTCTAAAGTATCAGACTCGGAGTTTCAAACAAAACCTCAATGCTATATTGCAACTTCTGATGTTCAAATATAAACTCAACTTCTATATTAACTTTTCCTTTAATGATTCCAATGGAACTTCACGCCTAGCTGGAAGCATAGTAAAAAGCTCTTATGTTTGTAATCTGTGAAAAAGCAACTACATCTTGTCAACGGCTTGAATTGTGGAGGAAGTTAACTAGAGGTTTTAGCACTAGGATCAAGGAAAACTGATATGATTTCTTCAGTCTACTACTCCATGCCTATGAACGCCTTACTTGAGAAAGACACAATGGATAATGAAATTATTTAGAAGATGAAGATCCTCATCGTACCAACTCCAATGTCTCTCTCTTGTAAATAGCTTCTTCATTAAACAACGATTATTCATAAGACACGATCCATTAAAAAATGATCCACAAACAAGCACAAAATTGTAAGTACCGAAATATGTTTATCTTCTTTCTCTATTTTCACTTGAGATTTTAAGGCATATTACAACAACTCTCCACCTTGACTTTAACTGAAGGTGATGCCAACTTAACCATCAACCACCTTGGTGCTCTCTCCAAAGCTTGAATCATTCTTCAACAAATTTGATTAAGTCTAAGCAATGCTTGAATATTTATCTTGGAAATTATATGGTGAACATATCAGCTGAATTCTCTTTCGACGAAACTTTCTAAACCTAAATCTCCTTTGAATCTATCATGTCCCTTATAAAGTGTAAACGAATGTCAATGTTTTTTGTTCTCTCATGATAAATTTGATGATTGGCCAGGTGAATGACAGATTAACTATCACAATTTATCTTCACACATTCTTGAGTAATACCTAACTCCCAAATCATGCCTTTCAGACATATGGCTTCCTTGACCCCTTCAACAAAGGCAATATATTACGTTTGAGTAGTAGATAATACGGCCATTGATTGTCGATTTTCCTTCCAGGTTATAGTTTTCCCAAATAATGTAAACATAAAACCTAATAAGAATTTTCTAGTGTCCACATTACCTGCATAATCATAATATACAAAACTCTCTAAATAATCCTCCTCTTGAGTTAACCTTGTGTACTTTAAACCACTATTTAGCGCACCATTCAAATACCCTAGAACCCACTTCAAATCTTCTCAATGAGACTGGCCATGATTTGTAATAAACTAACTTATTATGTTGGATGCATATGCTAAGCCCGGTCAACTATAAACTATATCATACATAATAATTTCAACCCCACTTGCATAGGGAGTACTCTCCATTATCTTCTTCTCTTCAATAGTTAGAGGACATTGTTTAATCGAAAGCTTCATGTGATGACCCAAAGGAGTGTTGAGGGTTTTAGCATCTTGCATTCTAAACCGCTCCACCACTTTCTTCAAGTAACTAGAGTGAGATAAGAAAAATTCACTCTTCTTGCGGCTTCTCATGATATCCATACCCATCATTTTTTTAGCTTCACCAAGATCTTTCATCTCAAATTCACTACTCAAGATCTCCTTGAGCTTACCGATCTCGTTTTTTGCTAGAGCTTGCCATCATAATATCTTCGACATATAAAAGGAGGTAGATAATAACTTTCTCGCTCCTATTCAATATGTATATATGTTGTACCCTAAAATTTGATCTCATATTTTTCTTCAAGGGATTCTTCCAAGGCTTCTCGGACACCCAGGACACTCAAGGGTTGACTAGTCAAGATGCTCCTTCTAAACCAAAGGCCTACAACTAGGGTTTAGTGTTTCTCAAGGAAATTTGGTTTGAAAAGGTCTCGAGTGGCTTCCATGGTTCTTCATAGGTCCTCAACAAGGTTCATTTCAAGTTTCAAGCCCTACATCACAAGTTTGCTCAGTCAATGGCTCAAATGTTTGAAAATAAACTGTATTGGTTAAAAAGTCAATTGTGGTAAACATACAATCAAACTTCAAGATTTTTGGTCAAAATCAACATTTTGAAGTGATATTTATCATTTAATAAAGGTTTGATCATGATTCCTCAAGGAAAGTCCTCAAATCATCAAAAGTCAAGATTTGTCAAATTAGGGTTTCCTTAGGAGAAGCCAACTGAACTTTGACCAGGCATAACTTCCACATGCTTCATAAAATTTTCACTAACCAAAACCCATTTTGAAAACAATTCAATTCCCTACAACTTTTTTTTTATTCTCAAGTCCAAAAATGCTTCATTTGGAAGATATGAGCTCATACATTATATGTCATTTTTAAAAGTAAACAAAAAGACACTTTTTGTCAAGGCAACTTACATGAAGATAATGTCTTCAAAAGCAAACATGATCAACATAGAGATTGTAGAGGACATCTTGAGATTTACAAAAAGTCTTAGATCATATTCAAAAGTTGAAAATTGAGCAAGTTATAAGTTTCACAAGTTAGGGAATTTTGAAGAAATTCATGAAGTGCAAATTGAGCAAAATTGCAATTTTGTACCAATGAACCTAACTTTTTGGACTTCAAACATGTCCATGACCTTTCAAAAGACTCCTAAACTCACTCTTACCTTGTTTGTTTTTTTCTTCTTATTTTATTTATATTTATTTTGTTTTTATTCAAATAAATGCAAAATAAATTAAATAAAATCACAAAAATCATGGGCTGTGCATATGGGATGGATTTGATCAATTTTGAAGCCCATTAATTCATGCAAGACACACACAAATGGTCCAGGTTCATTTCACATTCAAAAAGGGCAAGAATCACTCAAAAATGACAACTTCTTAATGTGTTTTATTCTTGTCTCAAAGGTCATGAATGCTTTGTTCCTTGCCATACACGTTCACTCCTCTCTTCCCTCTCTATAAATACACAAGCTTAAGATCACAAAGGGACATGAAATTCTTGCGCACAAGAGCCTTCTCAAAATTCTCTAAAAAATCAAAAAGTTGGTGAAAATCATGTCTCACTTTCCAGCCCATACCAGTCCAAATCAGTGATCAAACATCACCCCTGAGTTTCGAAGGAGTCCTCTAGATCCCAGGTTCAAGCCTCACACTTCCCATATCCTCCTCATAACCCTCCTACGGTCTTGGTAAAATTTAGATTTTCAAACTCTCTGAATATGTGATTTAAATCGGTTTTATGAAGGCATTCGTATTGCTATTGATGTTTTGATTAAATCTAACGGGTTCGATCCAGGTACAAGGCATTTTGTATTTTTCTTTCTTTGATCTTTTTAGATTCAATGCTAAGAAGATCCGTACGTGCATCATACACCTCCAATTCTGAACCATCAGATCTCATCAAACATGATCTGAATGCCTCAAGCGCACACCCCACCGTGGACTTTCAAGGAGCCTCTCTCATCCGATCCAATGCAGCCTCCTGGGCTCATTAGTTATGGGCCTAAGGACTCTTTTTTTGCACCCCTCTAACCCCTTTTTGCAGCGAGGCTCATTTATGTTTTTTTTAGTATTATTTGTTTTGCTTAATCAACACTTTTTTTAATCAGTTTCCTTTAATCAATAAAAAATAGAAAACCACACAAATATATTTTAAGTTTTTTTATTATTAATTAAATTAATTTTGTTAATTTTAATTAATTAATTAATCATTTTTAAACTAATTAGAATTAGGTTTCCATTAATTTAATTATTATTTTTCTTAAACAAAAACAACAAAAACATTTTTCTAATCTTAGAATCTTTTAGGGTTTTTCATCCTTTCTCGTTTCATCTCCGCGCGTTATTTATTTCTTTCGCATTTTTATTTTCATGAACAATTATGTAACTGTTGAAGGAATGTAATAGTTAAAATTAGGACTCTTTACATTTTTCTTTCCCCATTTTGGTTTGTATTCCCCCCATCCCGAAGCGATGTAATAACTTAGACTTTACTTTCCACATTTTTATTTTTCTGCCCTATGTATATATTTAACTGCTAGATGTATGCTTAATATGATTGCATGATAAGACTTAAAAACAAACG